GGGCTGGCTCTCATGTATAATTTGACTCCCCCAAAACTTGTCTACTAATATCTTACTGTTGACTGGAAGCTCGTGCATCACTGATAACATAGAGTCAACACATATTTTGTATGTTTCATGTATTACTACTGTATTCTGACAAAGTAAGCTGGAGAAAAGAAAATGTTTTTTCAAGTTGTCACAAATCTCCAAAAAATTTTCCAATATATTTATTGAAAAACATCTGCTTATAAATAGATCCACACAGTTCAAATCCATGTTTTTCAAGAGCCTGTTTTATTTGTATAACTGTGTAGTTTAAGGAGCTTTCCTACTTTTAAATTCACTGGTGAAGGAAATAATGGGATATTATAGCATATGGCCAATGGGGAAACTGAGGCATGGAGCAATTAAACCTGTGGTTCTGTAGCACAATTGTGGCAGCTCTGGCACCATTTGCTGACTTCTAGGCTGGGGCTCTTTTTCACTGCATCAGTGGCTTCTCTAGTATGTTTTTGCCTGCTATCCTTCCTTTATAAGGTAAGACTCCAGCTTTCACCTCCAGATGAAGGAAAAAGAGAGAAGGAAAGTTTTGCTGTTGACTCCTGTACACTCCTTCATGCTGACCTAAGAGATCCCTTTTAGCATTTGGGCCACAGATAGGATCCCAGAAAGAGCAAATGGTTTTGGATCTTCTATTACTGAGTGAACTTACTAATATATATATTTTTAGTTGGGATAAAATATACATAACACAAAAAGATTAATGTTTTTAAATATAAGGAACAAGGTATAGCTATCAAGTATTTCAGTAGAGTAGGATTTAAAACAAATCTTTTTAAGTTCAAGTGTAATTGACATAATAGTTTCAGGTATACAATATAGTGATTCAACAATTATATACATTACAGAATGTTCACCACCGTTAAGTGTAGTTACATCTGTCACTCTACTGACTTACTGCAACATTACTGACTATATTCCCCAGGCTGTACCTTTCATTCCTGTGACTTTTCCTTGAGTCTCATATTCTTATGGGGCTCCCATACATACATAATTAAATTAAATTTTCTCCTCTTAGTCTGTTTTATATCAGTTCACCAGACAAAGCATCTAGAAGGGTAGAGGAAAATTGTTTTTCTCCCCAGCCACTCCAATAATTTTTGTTCCAATGTAACAGTCTGGAGGAGGTTAGAACTTGAATAATATCTTTTTCAGTTATACTGGATATTTCTGGATGTAATACTGGATATATTATATTCCAAAATACTAGATAAATAAAGATTACCAAAAACTAATTTCACTGCAAGCATCCAAATCCTTGAGTCTCCAGAACTGGGAGCTAATGCTATGTAACAAGGGCAACAACAATGAATGACAACAGCAAAACTCATTTAAAAAATTAGTTTTTTAAACCTTTGAACATTTATATGGCATGCCAGACAAAGCAAAATTATTCTCAGTATGTATGGATTCTGCAACAAAGCAAGTCAAATTTATATTTATCACTTAAAATTGTAGAGGAGGGAAATCTGCAAAGCTTTAGGGAGAAAGGGATAATAAAGGGAATTTAGTTGTGTAGCATCTATTATTACTAATAAAAGTTCAAACATGAAAATAAAATTGACATGCCTTTTAAAGGACACTACTTTTAAAGAACATGTATTCATTTTAGTAAGTGTAAATTTCTTAATTTGGATTTTCATAAGTTCTACCCTGACCTCCAGTCTCCAAAACCCATGTATATTCTCCTTGTGGCTATGTTGCCAGGCAGTCCCTTCCAGGGCAGTCTTTCCCACCAGCTAGGGGAAACTGTGATAGGGGAGGGCTCTTGACTTTGTTCAGGTAAGAATTCGTGAACATGACGACAAGTGTAGGTAAGGAAGGATTCATTAAAGCAAGAATAGTAGCAGATGTCGGAGTTGCACAGTGCCAGGAAAAGTGCCTCCTGTATTTGTGCAGCCATGCAGGCAGTAGAGAGAAAGGGAGATCAGAGGAGGAAAGGGAAGCTTATTGAACTCCTGCTCAGCATAGGGCACATCCCTGCCAACTTCTAAAGCGAAGGTCACCTGGCATCCAGTGTCTTCCTCAATCTGCCGGGTATGGGAACTAAACAGCTTCTACCTGTAGGTAGAGGTGAGCTGCGGAGGAGCACTGGATGGAGTGAGATTATTTTCTGAGAACTTGCGAAAGCAAAGAATGATTGTACAGCCACAGTCCTGTTTGGGTCACCAGGTGAGAGAACTTGCAAGCCCCGAGTCAGATATCTCAGTAGCCTTTCCCTACTTGTCTGAAGTAAAACAGGGAGAGAGTGAGGACTTGTGCTTAAGAGTAGAAAACTGAATGAAGTAGGAAAGTAACAAAGACGCATATCACCAGGAAAGGGGTCTCTTATTAACCTCCTGTCAGGCTTGGAAGAACTTGGGGACAAAATGCAATAAACTAAGCAGCAAGAAGTTTTTATTTAAAGCAAAATACACACTCAAAGCAAGGGCAGTGCAGGCAGCCTCAGAGGAGAGGTGGGCTTAAAGGTTTAGGATTTGGGTTTTGAAGGATTTCAAGAATGGGGTAAAGGGGTAGGGGAGTGTAGGCTGGCATGTGACTTTGTGGTGGTAGAGTCATTATATCGCCATCCATGGTCAGTCCTTTAGATGTTCTGTAGGATAAACTTACACAAGGAATTTATTAGTTCTGTTCTTCTTCAAGGTAATAGTTGCCCTCAAATAAGGAGAGCATATCATATATCCTGCCTCAGAATAGGGTCAGTTATAAACTAATCACCACGAGATATATAGGAATTTTATTAACTCCTAACTCCTTGGTGGTTGTTTTTTTTAAATTAAGATCATTGATACAAACTCTTATGAAGGTTTCACCTGAAAAACATTTGGTTACTGCATTTACCCATATCATCAAGTGCTCCCCACACCCAATTGCAGTCATTGTCCATCAGCGTAGCTAGATGCCAGAGTCCTACTTGTCTGTGCTACACTGTCTTCCTTGTGACCCCCATGTCTAACTCCTTGGTTTTTAAAATGAAATCTTAGTCTTAAGATGGAGTCCCTCCTGTTCTTACTATACTTTATATCTTGTCATTTTTCATCATAGGCAGGAAAAATTAATCATGATGCGGGTCCCATATCCCTCTCTACCTCAGTTATAAGATATTCACCTGGATCTAGCACTGTTTTCTTTTTTTTTAAGATTCCACAGTCAAGGAAAGGGAGAGGGGATACAGCTGGCCTACTGTCTTAATTTCAGTTCGGCCCCTCCACAGCTAATTTGTACCCATCCTATTCCTTACTTTAAGTTTTTCCTGTCTAGACCCACTAACATGTACTCTTGCTTACAAGATTTAAAAATATTTCTCCTTGGGGGAGAGATTTTAGAGATCAGCACAAAAGGCAGGGGGCGAACAGACCCTGTTAACTTCTTCTATTTAGCGCAAAATAAGAGGAAGATCTGGAGCCAAAGGCCTGGAAGCAGATGTGCATTTAAAGGCCTGTACTGAGTCCCTTAGGGCTCTGACCTGGAAAGGCTTTATCCGTAATCTTTTTATGACCTAGGTCTTTTTCTCCTGTTGCTATTTGTAAATTTGCCTAATCTTCCCCACTGGACTGTAGGTTCCCCACTTGAGGGAGAGGGTTGAGTATGTTTGGAGAGAGTTCAAAGAGTGACAAGAATCCAATTTTGTTATTCATTGCGCAGTCCTATCATAACAATAATGGCAATGAACATGAAAGTTCACCTACAATTCTATCACCCTGATAAATCGTGTTTCTATTTTCCTTTCCAATCCCTCAGGTATTAATAATGCACCCCCCGCACCTTGCCTCGGATCATGTGCAGCTTTAACAAACGTTAAGTCCAAATTTGCATTTTGCTTTTAATTCTTTCACCTTTTATGCTTATCCTAGATATTTCAGAAGCTGCAAAATACATACTCACATATGGCTTTAGAAGCTACCTAATAGTCCATCAAGGACACTTCAGTGTAAGTCCAACATGTAGGAGTAAACGCTAATCCCATTTGACCCTGCACTGCATGGCCTGGAAGTCGGTGGAAGTTAGACTGCGGGCTCTGGGTTGCGGGCTGCGGGCTGCGCCAACGCGGGCGGCGAAGAGCACGTCGGCAGCGGCAGGACCGCGGCCCCTCCCAGCACCGGCCACCTTGGCGCCTTTTTCACTTGGACCTCGCCCCGCAGGCGCTACAGCGCAGGGAACGCCCCCAGGTGCCTGCCCACTTCTGGCCGCGGGCTGTCCTGCTCCAAAGTGCCTCCTGAGGCTTACGGGAGCCGGAAGTGACGCTACCGGGGGGGGGGTCGGGAGAGGGCGGGGCCACACTATAAACCGCTGTATAGTGGCCCGCCATTCCTACAGAGAGCGCAGGTTCGGCTGGTGTGCGGCTGTGTGGCGGCGGGCGGACGGAGGAGGCGCTTGTGTGAGTGGCGCCCCAATGCCAGAGTCCAGCCCGCTGACCCTCCGGGCCTCCCCTCGGCCTGCAGGGGGTCCCTGGGGCGGCGGCCTCGGTGCTGTCCCGGGGTCGCGGAGAGGCTGCAGCGCCTAGGCGCGGGCAGGCGGGATGGAGCGGGGCGCGTGTGCTGGCGGGGAAGGGGCCGCGGGGGCCATGAGAAGCTGCCCGCAGGTGCGGCTGTCGGAGCCGCTGTGCGGAGAGAAGCTGCCCTACCATTTGCTTTTTTCCTTTCTTCACTGTCCTTGGAGAGACGAATGGTTTCCCGGTTAGGGCTCTAAGGGCGAAACGAGGGGCGACCCCGCTGTCGCTCCACGCGCCACTATTCTGTTCCCTGCAGCGGACCAGCCCGATCCCTGCTCTCGCTAGCTCACCCCCGAAAGGTGACGGCCCTCGTGGAATTGCCCTTGGCCGCAGCTCACGCTGCCGCAGCGCTGACCCGCTCCGACACGTGGCTGCTGCAGGAAGTGTCCCGAGGGGGGCAGTCGTCGGGGTGCGAGGGTGACCTTGGGCGCATTGTATACGAGACTTCTCCGCGCCAGCGCGGGCCTTGGTGTTACTGCTGAAAAGGACAGAGCCGCCCTGGACTAGGCTATGAGCGTGTCCTGGGCATTTGGGTGGGGATCCGTAGGCAGTGCATTTGAACTCTGGAACAACCTGATCTTTCAACGCCTCCTGGCCTTGTGTGAGTTCTCAGTTTTCTCAAGGCAGAAGCCGACCGAACGTGCGTGCAGGTGTTCACATTAAGAACACTCGGGTTGCTGGGCTCTACTCACTAGAAAATGGGAGACCTCAGGAATGAGGCATAATTCGTGAAAGCTATAGTCTAGAAGCTAAAAATATTTGGATTGGAATCGGCTTTTGCCCTCAGGGATTTAGTGACGTGGTAGAAGAGCTGTGCTGTATTGGCAAAGGCGTAGGGGCCCAAGTGTTACTGTTACTGGTGTACAGCTCTTTAAGGTGGTAGGGGGGAAGGTGCATCATAATATAATACTATATTGTGACTTGACTCATTTTCCCTCTGCTCACTGCTAGTAGCAACCTTGGGTATACTGCTTTTTCCTTTTTGAGGAGTAGGGGAGTGGGTTAGAGGATTGAAGCAGGAAATAGTTGGCCTGTTGGAGCAGTATTTGGGACCTGATACCTTCATTCTAGGCTTAGATACCAATTTGGTGTATTAGATGCTGAGTCAGTTGTCTCTAAGCTGGGGAGTTTAACGTCACTGACAAAGACATTTAAGGTGATGTCGCTCATGTAATTGTAGATTAATGACAGCCCCCCCCCCCAAAAAAAAGACATTAAAGGTGATTTCCAGAGGTTGTTTTCTACTGTGAAAATTAAGTTTAGGCTGTCAAAAGCATACTTTTGGCCCTGCTTTTTTCTGTTTTGGATTATAATAAACTCAGTATGTGTCACGAGAAAATATAGAATTAAACAATTTTTGTCAAGGATCTGAAATGTTTTCCAAAAGTCCATATATAGCATAGCACCCTTTGACTTACTGATGGAATGTTCTTGTCAAGTAATGGTGGTTGTGAATCTAGCATGTGCTGGTGATAGAGAACTCTGCTAACTCTGCCGTAAAGGGTGGCAGTTATTTGCCTCTGATAACATACTTATCTATAATTAAGCAAGGTTCCTAGCTAAACTGGAGTCAGACAGTGAAAACAAAGCTGTTTAAAATGGTCCTCTGAGGCCTGTTGGAACTCTTTGTATGTTCCTTCTGTCAGCTCAAGATGAACACTACAGATAGATGAAATGACCTGAAAGAGGTCCTGACCTTTGAGTTGGAAAATATTGTTCAGAAAACTGAATAGGAATGACAATTCTGCTTGGTTTTTACTTCACTGCCTTTTCATTTTAGGCCCATAAAGTTAGACTTGTAAAGCTTAGGAAAGACCTTGACTGTCCCTTTACACGTCATTCTGGGTATGTGCAAAAATACGAGTTTTGAGGGCCCTGCAGAATTTTTTTAAGTCCATGTAATCTACTTTCCCGTGAAAATACGTTGTTGTCTAGGGAAGTAGTTTGCAAAATGGGTTTCTCTACTCCAATTGCTTGATCTTGGAGCCCCATCAGGTATGTTAAGGTTTTTCTACTTTGAAAAATCTCCCTATTAATCCAAACTTTGTCCAGTGATTTCAGGATAAACCTGTAAAGTGACAGGAATGGGAAAAGATTCCAGGTCTGAGGTTTTCATTTATGCTTTTTTCATATAATTTCCAAATGAAAATGAAAAAGGTGAATCTCATTTACATTAAGCATGCCCCAATGCTGTTAGGAAATAAAATGTCTTTACTCTTTAATTATCCATAATTCTATATGAGGTATTACAGGATCAGGAAATCGGTCACAGAGGCTTCAAAAGATAAAAGGTGGCCCTTGAGCTGAGCCTGGAACAAATGGGTAGGACTTCAAGAATGGAGGATGAATATTAGTGGGTAAAGGCAGGGACTGGCTTCTGTCTAATTTTGGAGAAAATAGGGCAGTGAAGTTGCTAGGTTAGTGAAAATGTTTGGAACAGACTCAAGCAGGCACAGGGACTTCATTTTATGAGTTCCAAGGACTTGGAATTGTGGCCTGTTTTCTAAAGTGGGCTTGTCAGTAATAAGCAAGTGGTTTGTTCTTGTTTCAGGTAAGGTGGAATATCAACTTTGGGTATGTTGTACGTAGATGACAGTGTATTTTGGTACTTGATTCCTCATACCCCTTAGCTATATATATGTGTTGTGTATAGACCCCTGGTTTTGAGAACTCCACAAGATACCTTAAGATCTCAAGGTAATAACTGTATTTTAAAAGATTGAGTAGACATTTAATTAATCAAAGCCGCATTTCAAGAAAGTAAGAATAAGATGATATGAATTTAAAGAAGTTGGTTGGGGACTACAGCTAGAAGCCTTACCTGTCTCCTTCTTCCACCCCATGACTCAGACATTTCATGCCCTCCCGTTTCATGTTCAAAACACATGGAGCTCTGTTTGGCTTACCTTAATTTTCATAGGGAACACCAATGATACACAAAGTGCTGATATGAATAAAAATCATGGTCTGTTTGGTTTGTCTCTTGTAATAGAATTATCAACATTGGTGGTGGGTGGTATGTTGGAGTAAGCCAAAATAAGTTGTTTGGCTTTTAGGTGTAGTCTTTTTAACAGCTACTTGATTTCAGACTGGACAGTATTAGTATAACTGGTATGAAAAGTTTCTCTGCCATGCTTTCAGAGCACATAAATTAGAGTGATTTCTGTTAGAAGAAAATGTCAAGGGGTTCTTTTAAATAAAAAGCTTTTACTATGTGTAAAGTCATTTTGAAAGAATAACTCAAATTTGTTTATAAAACTAAAGGAATTATTTGTGGATATCATAGAATTACTGTGTTCTTCATGTACGTGGACTTAAATAATAGTAAGATGAGATTGCCAGAGTTACCATTTTTTTCCTCTGGCTTGATTTCTGTTATGTTAGTCTTAATTTTGTGTCTGGGGATTGAAACATAATTTTTATTAGTACCACATATACTTAGGTTTTAATTATACAAAATCATAATTTCATGCTCTTATTTACCTGTTTCTGCAGACTTGGAAACACTCAGACTCATTTATTTAAAATTTATTTAAATCCTTTATTTACATGACTTACTTAAGTGGGTTGTCACCTTTGTCTTAAAATTAATGTAAAGCTGGAAACTTTAAGTAACTGGTTCAGATGAGTAAACTTGCAAGCTGCTTTTTCCTAGAAAAGGGTGATTAAATTGGTTCAGGGTGGGGCCTGCCTTTCTAGTTCTGGCTCTAGTGATTGGGGTTGGTACAGTTGTGGTGCAGTGATAGTGATAAGCTTTTTGTACAGATGGGGCAAGAGACTGCTTCTCAGAGTGTGATCTCTTACTTATTGGATCTTTAAAGCTTGGGGATTAAAATTTTTTTGTTGTTAATAGGTTTTGATAGGAGGCTTTTCTAATGCCAGGTTACAAATGCCTTTTGTGTCACAATCTGCATATGTCCCAACTTGCTTTGGGCCTTGGTTGGGGGTGTTAAAAGCCCTGTAAGTGTGTCTTTGTGATATTAAGAAAAGACTTAAAGTAGTATGAAATAAATGTCCATTTTATAAACATCTTTATATATTAGCACTTTCAAGCACCCAGATGTGCTCAAATAAAATTAGAAGATCAGATTTCATTTAGTACCTGTACTTTAGCTTAACATAGCACTCTTGGTTAAAGTATATTTTTCTTTGAATAAAGTTGAGATTAATTTCTTAAATTTCTGGAGATAGAACACAATTTCTAAAACCTAGTAACACACTGAAATTCATTTCTAGATTATCAGTTTTCAGCCTTGAAACCTCTCCGATAATTGGCCTCTCATCTGAAAAATAGAATACTGATTTGCTTTTTTTTGTCTATGCTTGCTTGCATCAAAGATCTACCAAATCATTGTGGGAACTGTTCACTTAATCAAAAGAACCAGGTTTTCTCTCCTTTCTTATTGGAGATGCTTTGTTACTGATGTTTGTAGCATGACCATTCTTAATTATGCTTTTATTTTTTTTCTTAGAAGCTAGTCTGTTGCCTTTTGTATTTGTCCCTTTCCTTTGACTAGTAAATTCAGTTAACTTAAATCTACTTATCATGGATGAATTCTAACTAGTTTGCCTCACATTTTTAATTTTGAAAAGTCTTGGGAAAAATTGAAATAGTACAATATATATCCAGGTGCCCTTTACCTAGATACAACAATTAAGTTTGACACATTTGCTTTATTTCTTAAATGTTTTTTTTTAATTGAAGTAATAGTTGATATACAATCTTATATTGGTTAAAGTGTACAACACAGTGTTCAACAGTTACACACATTATTAAATCCTCACCCCCACTAGTGCAGTTATTGTCAACATAGATATTACAGAATCATTAGCTGTATATTCTCCTTGCTGTACTACTATCCCTGTGACTAGCTTACATATGGTTGAGAATTTCTGTGCCCCTTCATGGCCCTCACCCTCTCCCCGACCCCAACCCCATGTTAACCACTAGTCACTTCTCAGTGTCTATGAGTCTACTACTATTTTGTTTGTAGATTCCGCAAATAAGTGAAATCATGGTATTTGTCTTTCTCTGCCTGGCTTATTTCACTTAGCATAATTCCCTTTAAGTCCATCCATGTTGCAAATAGCAGGATTTCTTTTTTATGGCTGAATAATATTCTATTATATCTAAGTACCTCATCTTTCTCCATTCATTACTGATAGACACTCTGGTTGCTTCCATATCTTGGCTATTGTAAATGTGGTAGTAAACATAGGGGTGCATATATCTTTTTTAATCTTTAGGTGCCTTTTTAAACAGAACTATTTGAAAGTAAGTTAAAGACATCACACTATTTCATTCTTAAATTTTTTGGCATTAATCTCCTAAGAACAAGGGCATTCCCCTACAAAAACAGTACCATTATCACACTCCTTTAACCTGACATCGACACAATGCTGTTATCCAGTATTAGTCGTTTCTTTTTTCTCCCCATGATGTCCTGCCTCATAGCTGTTCCCACTTCCACCACACCTCAGTTTAGGACCTAATCAAGGATCACAGTAAATTTAGTTCTGTAAACTAAATATCATGTGTAAAGATGCTTTCTATAAGATACATAATAATTAAGCTAGTATGGTAATGAAAAACCCTTACTAATCTAATACAATTGTATCTTTCCCATTATATTCTGTTTTAGTAATAGGCTCTAACGTGTGGCAGCTCAGAATGATGGATCAAGCCAGATCAGCATTCTCTAGCTTGGTAAGATATTTTAAGTTGTATTTCTCTGTCACCAGTTTACAAGAATATAAAGTATACATTAATAATGAAAATTAAGAATGATTTACCCATAAGCATGAAGTAATAATACCTGATGTTATCAGGTATTCATATACATTTGAAGTAATGGAATGCAGCTATGCTCACCTATACCACCAAAGCACATTTGGTAATAGTCTTGAGGTATAACCAGTCCCACCAAGGAAGGGTATATTCAGTCTTTAGGAGAGTTAATTATGGAAAATGATGTAAGAAGTTTCAGGGTATTTTGGGAGGAGGGGGACAGCCAAATAGGTAAAATGAACTAAAGAAAGCACTGATTAAAATACACAAAGCAGTGGACCTGCATAACAGAAACCCAGAATGAAGCTGAATGAGATGAAGGCCAGTGTGGGTTCTAGCCCTCACTGGCCTTTGACAGCGCGGGGCATGGGGAGAACATCACTTCAAGGGAGCTTCCTTTTCCATTAGACATAGCAAGTCACAGTAATTGTCCAGTAGTTAGTGTTAATACCTGACCAAATGTCTTGTAAAGCTTTCTGGCCCCTTTCTTTTCATAATATCTTTTCTCTCTTTTTTTAAAAACCTCAGTTTGGCGGAGAACCATTGTCATATACCCGTTTTAGTCTGGCTCGGCAAGTAGGTGGCGAGAATAGTCACGTGGAGATGAAACTAGCTGTAGATGAAGAAGAAAATGTTGACAATAACATGGGTAATTGTTCCAGTGTCACAAAACCTAAAAGGCTTAATGGATTTATCTGCTATGGGACTATTGCTGTAATCATCTTTTTCTTGATTGGTAAGAGTGGCTATTCAAATTTTAAATGTTCCTTGTCACCAACTCTAGGAAGTCTCTTAAGTCGGCTAGGCTACATTTATACCATTTTAATGCCATTGTGCCAGGCATCAGGAATACAGTGATAACTAAGATTCTGTACCTGCCTTTGAGGTTAGCCTGGTAGGAGAAGACACATGAGTCATTTCATTGTAATGTATAAATATTAATGTAGAAATATGCACCAGATATTTATAGTGTAGAAGCTTGGCCTGTGGATTAAAGGAAGGCTTCTGGGGAGAAGGTGTACCTATGCTTTGAAAAGGTAAACTGTTCAAAATAAAGCTATTATAATTTATTAGATTGAATGGTTTAAAATAGAAAGAACTGAGATGTATTTACTTTCCAACTGCTTACAATTTGATTAAAACCATTATTTTCAAGGATTGGCTGGAGATAATAGAAATTTTTATAGGAATTGTAAATAAATGAGACTAGCTCTGAAATTTTTTATTTTTAGGATTTATGATTGGCTACTTGGGCTATTGTAAACGTGTAGAACCAAAAACTGAATGTGAGAGAACAGAGTCTCTGGGGATAGATGAAACAGAAGAACCTTCTGAAACGGAAGATTATATCCCTGAAACACCTCGTTTATTTTGGGTGGATCTCAAAACAATGCTGTCAAAGAAACTGAGTACCACGGAGTTCACCAGTACCATCAAGTACGTTTGAGCTACTTCACAAATTTAATCTCAGTACCTAAACAAACTATTAGGTGTAGTAAAGCAAAGCAAAAGTGACAGTCTGGACAAAAAGCTTTTTAGATGGAGTAGGGGAGACTTCCCAAGTTTGGCTAGAGGGTAAGGAATCAGAACTATGCACAGAATTCAAACTATGTTGATAGGAAAGAAAGATAGGACTTTTATGGAGATCTCCTTTTTCTGAATGGGTCTTTGATCTTTTGGTCATCTTCTTTGTAGGTTGCTTGCTCTCAGACTTCCTTCTGCTCTGATTTTCCATCTTAACCCCTTCCTTATAAGTCATGCTGAGCTCTGCTACTATCCACAAGCACATTAGTAGCCTGCGGAATTTCTACATAAGGACTAAATTAACTGTCCAACTTGATATAGAAACATAATGTCTTAGTATTCCTTTGTTTCCTTAGGTTCACCCTCATGAATTCATAGCCTAATGTATCCTTAGGTTTTTGTCCTTAGATTTTTAAGATCCTAAATATACTTCTAACTCTATAAAGAATAAATTCATCTTTTACCTTTCAGCTAGCTTCCTATAGCTACAGTGGTACAATAATTCTTGTAAATTAGAAATCTTGGCATCTCTATTTCATCAGTTAATATGTTTATACTGTACACCCATGTAATTCTGGGGGGGAATTCCCGGGGCAAAATTTTGAGACTGATATCAGCCAAAAGGAGAAATAAAGTGGGAGAAACCCATTTATTTCTTAAAAGCAGTCGTCCACTTCTGCTCTCCTGTGTCTTTTGCAACCCATCTGCAGAAGAAGGGACCCCAGCCAACCTCGCCCTTGCTAGCCATGTAATTACCTATTGATAAAGAGATGGACTACTTCTCTCCACCCCTTGGAAACACCTAGTGATACGGAGATGCACTAAGGCCAGGCGAGAGATTCTGGAAATACTGCAATTTTACCCACAGCCTGGTATGGTAAAGTGAGAGTATAGCTTATCAAAAAAAATCAATCAACTAGTATGATAAGTACATTTACAAAGAGCCATGGAGATTAGAACAAAGCAGTTTTACTTCCAGGGGTTCACAATACTTCAAAATAGGTAAAAATTGAAGCTGTACATCTTGAGTTCACCAACAGTAATACTTTCATTTTGCTTACAAAAGATCTGGAAGCTACTCATTTCCCCTTAAACTACCTTAAGCACATCTATTGTATTGGAACAGGGCTCTTAAAGGAGTGCTTTACAGATGATAAAGAGATGTTAACAAATTTGAAGACATAAATTCCTTCAGATAATGGGTACAATCTTTTTTTCTTCTAAGTTTGTCTCTGTCTGGTCAATCCAGAAAGAAGTTCTGGGTCACAATTAATTTGCCTTAACTATGATGGATGATATTGAGTCATGCTTTTAAAATAATTTGCTTGGTATCTAAGTTCAATGTTTAGTTTAAATTAAACGTTAGCTCTTTTAACAGTGACATTTTTTTTCCAGGCAGCTGAATGGAAATTCATATGTCCCTCGTGAGGCTGGATCTCAAAAGGATGAAAGCCTTGCTTTTTTCATTGAAAAGCAATTCCGTGAGCTTAAACTCAGCAGAGTCTGGCATGATGAACATTTTGTTAAGGTTCAGGTCAAAAGCAGGTATGCTGAAAGACGGTAAACTTGTTTTGTAGAAGTAGCTATTTTCAGGTGTGCTAAATAGAGCAAAGACTTTGAAAATAAATAATGTAAGTCAAATGTTTAATGAATTAAAGCCATTTAGTTTTTTCCAAGGTATCTTTAGCTTCATTTTCACTTAATCTTTTTTAGCAATGCTGAAAACTCGGTTACCATAGTGAGTACAGGCAGTGGTGGCATGGTATACCTGGTGGAGAATCCTAAGGGATATGTGGCGTACAGTAAGGCTACAACAGTTACAGTAAGTAAGGCAAAACGGTGTGGGAGACTTCTCTCTGTTGAATAGTTAGACTCATTGTTTTTACTGTTCTTAGGAGTTATGAAATTACTTGTAAAATGTTACTGATTATGAGATGTTCTTGACCTGCCTTTACCACAGTTTGCAAGTCACTTTATTATACAGATAGTGTTTAACAATTTTTGGACAGATTTATTATCAGGACTTTTAGTTCGGACCTATTCCTATGTATATCCTCAGTTGTCTGAGGTTCAAGTTTGGGAACCTTAGGTAATGGGTGCCGTCAGGGTTGGCCAGGTGTGTCTTTTAACATACCCTGTTATCTTTTCTCCTCCCCCCAAATATCTGGAACCATGTGAAATAGATTAAATGTAAATAGATCAATATAAATAAGATAAAGGGCAGCATGTGATAATGAAAGGCATGAACATATGCCAGAAATCTTGACACCTGACAAACCCTAATCTGTTTTTACTTGAGAACTCTGATACATCATTTCTAGGCCTTAGCCTTTTTTCCTGTTTTCTTTTTTTCTTTTTGTTTTTTATTAAGGTATTATTGATAATACACTCTTATGAAGGTTTCAAATGAAACTATGGTTACATTTACCCATATTATCAAGCCCCTACCCATACCCCAATGCAGTCACTGTCCATCAGTATAGGAAGATGCTACAGATTCACTATTTGCCTTCTTTGTGCTACAGTGTTTTCCCCGTGACCCCTTACACCATGTGTACTAAACATAATGCCCCTCACTCACCACCTGCCCCCACCCCCACCCCTCCCCTTTGGTAACCGCTAGTCCAGTCCATTCTTGGAGTCAGTGAGTCTGCTGCTGTTTTGTTCCTTTGGTTTTCCTTCATTGTTATACTCCACAAATGAGGGAAATCATTTGGTACTTGTCTTTCTCTGCCTGGCTTATTTCACTGAGCATAATATCCTCCAGCTCCATGCATGTTGTTGCAAATGGTAGGATTTGTTTCTTTCTTATGGCTGAATAGTATTCCATTATGTATATGTACCACATCTTCCTTTATCCATTCATCTACAGATGGACACTTAGGTTGCTTCCAAATCTTGGCTATTGTAAATTGTGATGCGCTAAACAAGGGGAACTTGTGGTTTTCCTGTTTTGTTTTGTGGGCTTGATCTGTAAAACTGGTTCTGTGGCTGTTTGAATACTAATGCTCATTAAATCTAATGTCTTTATTCTAGGGTAAACTGGTCCATGCTAATTTTGGCACTAAAAAAGACTTTGAAGATTTAGAGTATCCTGTGAATGGATCTTTAGTGATTGTTAGAGCAGGGAAGATCAGTTTTGCTGAAAAGGTGAGTATGAGTTATTAAATGCATTGGTATTATTAATTTTCTTAATATTCTGAAAACCAGCAGTTTTCCAAACTCTCACCCTGTAATGTAGTTTATCTTATTAAAGTGTTCAACAAATCAAATAGTACCAATTAACTAAAGTTACACAATACATCTAAAACTATGGTATATCCACTTGGAATATTTTGTCTGTAACCATTGTCTTTTATTGAAAATAAAGTAATAAAGAATGCTTAAATGAAAGCAGTTTAAATTGTGTCTATGTAGCCAAGTTTTATGTATATAGAATTCAGTTATAACTGTTCTATAAAGAGGAAAATTAAAAGTGAAACATATACAACAACCTACTGTGGAACACATTGAAAGGTAGTGGTTGTCTTGTGTTTATAGCATCCTCTGTCTTTTTAGCATAAAATCCAGTATATATTTTTCTAACTTTGTATCATTAGATTGTTATTTTCTGAGCTTTACATCTTTTTCTTTAGGTTGCAAATGCTGAAAGTTTAAATGCAATTGGTGTCTTGATATATATGGACCAGGCCAAATTTCCCATTGTTAATGCAGAGCTTCCACTCTTTGGACACGTGAGTTCTTATTTCTTGAGTAAATTTGTCTTTTGAGACCTAGTTATTTATTGCTGGAAGTACTTTATCGTTAGTGTCTTGAATTGAGAGAATTAGGCATAGGCCATATGAAAACAAGTCACGTACTGTAGAGCCATTAAGGCTTTCAGACTTTAAGGCCTTAAACTAAACTTAGGCTATTGCCTCATAGAATCTGAATCTCACAGGGATTTCTTGCATAGGTGCCTGATAGAGCTAATTATTCTTTTGTTTTACTAGGCTCATTTGGGAACAGGTGACCCTTACACACCTGGATTCCCTTCTTTCAATCATACTCAGTTTCCACCATCTCAGTCATCAGGATTGCCTAATATACCTGTCCAAACAATTTCCAGAGCCGGTGCAGAAAAGCTGTTTTCGTAAGTTCTTACTAACTGTCTTGCCAGGGTGAGGTCTTATGATTAGGGAGGCATAATAATCTGTTTCAGCTGATTTGATTAAATCTTAACAATTGGCTATAATTTTCCACGTTTGGGACATTTTGGAAATGGCTAGCTGTTACCTTGATACAGATGAAAATGAAATTTTTCCTTCCTTAAGTGATTTTAATAGATTCTGGATTTATAAACTCAGTGAGTCTCTTGTTCAGTTCACCAAGTGAATCCCCTGTGTAATATTCCTGGTATCTTCTGATTAAATACTTCCTGAGGTAAAGCATCATGTGTTGCCTTGGAAACCCATTCAATTACTGGAGACCTGTTAGAATTCATGTTGAACTGAGATCTTATTCCCTGTAACATCCAGGGGTCTTAGATTTTCTTCTTAGCAACAGACGATTGAAGTTTCCTTGTCTATATAGATTGAATACCTTCAGTTCTCATGAAGAGTTTCCAGATGATTTATACTCATGATTAGTCCTGAATATCCTCTCTAGTATATTAATATTCCTCTTTAAAAGTAGAACTCAGTCTGATTATAGCACGTGGCATTAATCTGGTCATATCTCCCGCCTGGTATTCACATAGGATATAGATCTAGTTTCAGACACGTGAAGATTTATTTGCTTTGTGATGTGAAACAAGTTAGTCTAACCTCACTGACCACGTTTCTTTGACTTACTTGGGTAGCTAAAATATATTCTACTTAACAGGGTGATTGTCTCAAATGAAGGGCATCTGCGTGTGGGATACATACATGTGAAATAACTGTATGACTATAAGTATGTTAAGAGTCATTTCTAATAGTTGATTTCTACCAAACTTAGAATCACCTGATTCTTCCCACCAGCTACAAGTTTTCACTAACTTGAGAAGCTAGCCCTCTGTCTTACCCTTGTGTAAAAGGGGTTGATAATGTTTTCACACATTTATGTAAGTAAGTCCCTTTAGAACATCATTTGGATAATATATGAGTAATTAGATAGGGGAAGATATCTAACTACAAGCAGCATGAGAAAATTCATTTATAACTAGGATAAGAATAGAATACATATACTACCCTTGTTAGGAGAGAGTTTAGGAAATGTGAGAATGTATTAATGGACTTTCATATAAGTACTTCATTCTGAGTCCATCTTGATACGTCAGGTGTAAACTATAGTTATGTCTCTGGCATAAAACAAATATCACATGGCATAAAGACAAATATCACATGGGGACAGGTAAAGAAATTTTTTTAAAGCATTGGTAAAACAAGGAGGTAATACTTGTGGTTTTCAAATGATTGCCCACAGGTCAGAGTGAGACACAAATAGTTGGCCTCTTAAGGAGTAAATCTTGTATGTTCTTTTTATGTGCACTCTGAACCTAAAACTTCACAGAACAGTAAAGAGAAGTGATTTTGTAAACCTGGGGAAGCAACAGTAACTCAGAACTGATTGCAGTTTTCTCCTTCTAGAAATATGGAAGGAGACTGCCCTTCTTCTTGGAAAACAGAGTCTTCATGTAAGCTGGTAACCTCCCAGAATAGAAATATAAGGCTCACTGTAGAAAATGTGCTGAAAGAGACAAGAATTTTTAACATCTTCGGAGTTATTAAAGGTTTTGAAGAACCAGGTAAAGACCCTTGTTGATTTTTTGACTTTGTTTTCCTTGCTCTTAAGGATGTGGCCAGAGAAGGGAGTGCAGGAAAGCTGCCTTGGCTTAGCTAGGTTTTGTGAAATGCTAAATCTTGTTTGTCCTAAAATGCTAAATCTTGAGCCTAACCTGACCTGTTTAGGTGTCAGTTTTATTGATTGGGAGGTAATGAGGCCCTAGGAGATTAACTTGTCAAACTGACCATTATGACTAGAAAATCTGTTGAGTTACTGAACAGACCCAGACCAGTGGTAAGGGAAGATAATAAACATTTTGCAGGCCATGCAGTCTATTGTAACTTCGCCTTGACTCTGCTGTTATAGTATGGAAACAGCCACGGACACTACTGAGTGAATGGGCCTGCAGGCTATGGATTGCCCATCCCCCGAATGGGCATTCTGTTTAAATGAAATCGGTCATATCACTTAGTAAGAAAAACCCTTGGACTTCAGTTCTTTATTAAACAATTAGTGAACACAAATACTCTACAGTAAACTTGATAGGTAATGTAGAAAGTGCAGTAATGCTAATAAGTAAAAAGATAGGCATTATCAGGTGAATTTTTAATCCTCAGAATTAAGTCAGCTCAGAAGTAGGGCTCTCAACCTTTATTGCATATGTACATTTTTACCCTCTACTAAGGCAATTCTAGACTTCAATATTAGAAAATAGTTTAAAAGCTAACTGAATAATTTGTCTCTTTGTGTTTTTTTTTTTTAAGATCGCTATGTTATCGTAGGGGCCCAAAGGGATTCCTGGGGTCCTGGAGCTGCAAAGTCCAGTGTAGGAACAGCTCTTCTGTTGGAACTTGCCCGAATATTCTCTGATATGGTCTTACAAGGTAGATCAAAAATTTTGAGAACTTAAAACATCTATCAACTGTATATAGTTCTGAATGTTAGATGCTTTGCTCACTTCTTCCTATATTGTGATTCACACATGTTAGACCCTGAATTCTTAGGAACCAAAGCAGTTTTCCTTATTGTATCTGCCTTTAACTTGACATAGATTTCCCATTCAGTATCTTCGTTGCACTGGAATTAGCAAATTTTGTTGAGACATTAGAAGGTGGTATATTGGGCCCTAATTGTTCATTTGACCCCAAGAAATGTATTTGAAAGCAAGCAGTGGCATTGAATCTTTACTAATGTTCTTTAATTTTGCTATAAAATTGCAATGTGTTAGTACAGTGTGTAGTTTTATGTTATATTGACAAAAGGATGTATTTGATTTATAAGTATAATATGTAATATATCTATGTATTCTTAATATGAAGACTGACTCTGAAGCCTTTCTCCCATGCTGTTTTCCACTCCCCTATGCCCACCTCTGCACACATGTGCACCCCCATCACATTCTTGAATCTTTGGGCCTCAGAATAAGTTGCAGTACTTAAATTTTATACGAAGTACATTGGTGCAGCAAAATAACAATCCCAGGGAAGGACAGTGACACATATAGCCCCCAAAAGAGCTGTCATTAATATAGCAATTTCTTTAAAAACTTCCCTATAACATAAATTTGTGAATGTATTCTATTTTGTAACAGTTGCTTTTAAAGTAATCTGGTGTTTTAAGTGGTTTATCTAAGCAAATTGTTTTCAAAGATAGTTGCACTGTGACTTCAAATATCTCTTGGTCCAGAAAATAAGGGACTCTATCCTGTTCTTTGTAGATTCCCTATTCCTTATTTTGTTCTTACCAGGGCCTCACAAGGTAAAATATTTTTAAATCTGCTGTCTTGAATTAGAAGCTTTTGATTTCATCTTACTGAGTTGCCTACCTTTTAACTTTTTTCAAGATAAGAACTCTCTGTTGTCTTCCAGATGGGTTTAAGCCCAGCAGAAGCATTGTGTTTGCCAGCTGGAGTGCTGGTGACTTCGGGGCTGTTGGTGCCACTGAATGGCTAGAGGTACTGTTTGAGTGACACCCGTACCCAGAATGGGCACATGAATTTAGATTGGTATAACTTTGTCCTCCAGGAACCATGTTCTCTCAGATTGGATTATATCATTTTTGCCTTTATTTAGTCTCTGGATTCCAAATTTTAAAAGAAATCCCTAATAATAGCTAATCTGTGTGATAAATTATATGAATACATATTAATGCATTAGTATTGTTTCTTGTTTCCTAGGGCTACCTTTCCTCCTTGCATTTGAAGGCTTTCACTTACATTAACCTGGACAAGGCTGTTCTTGGTAGGTATCCTTTTAGTTAGCTGTGTATGAATTCAGGTAAGCAACTAATAAGACAGCAGAAAGCTTTCTAAAGCAGCACCTGTTATTTTTTACACTTTACACTGGCCATACCCAGATCAAAAGAGTGACTTAGCTTTTTTTTTTTTTTTTGGCAGGTGAAAGGTTTTGTTTTTTTAATTAAGGTATCATTGATATACACTATTATGAAGGTTTCACATGAAAAATATTGTGGTTACTACATTGACCTATATTATTAAGTCTCTCCCATACCCCATTGAAGTCACTGTCCATCAGTGTAGTAAGAAGGATGCCCTCTATTTTAGAAACTTTTATTTTTTTGATACCTTCTGGGTAATTCCCAGAGGATTCCAGAATGGATAGAATTCCTCTGCTTCTGTAAACTGTTAAGTTAGCCAGACATGAAGATCCAGGCTACCTTTTTTTACTGATGGGATAGTAATGGAACCTGATTTAGGGCATAAGGAAGGGTCACAGAAGCATAAACAGCCTCTGGCCAAGACACATGGATACTGGCTCCTGTCAGAGGCTATGGTGGACTCTGGGAGGCCCACACTACTTAGCTTTCTTTTACTAGTCCATCAAATTATAGGATGTGCACAGATTGCCTTGTTTAGAGCAGTGGTTCCCAGTGTGGTGGTCCCCAAATCAGCAGTAACCGTTAACTGTCGGAAATGTAAGATTTCGGGCCAGGCCTAGATCTTTTGAGTCAGAAAGTGTGGAGCACAGGTCCTGCAAACTGTTTGAACAAGCACTGCAGGTGATTCTGATAAATTAAAGAACCACTAGTCTAGGCTATATATTTTAGATGAGAAAAAACCAAACCCTACCATATTTTGTTAGATTATGTCATTACTGACAGAAATACTAGTTAATCAAACTTCTGAATTTAGGAGTTTAAATGTTATTAAAAGTGCAAATCTAGCTAGTGGATGAATTGAGAATAGTAAAATGTCTACATTGGGGCGAAAAAGGAAAAAGTTACAATCAAGTCTTTATTAGTGTTATGTTGTCTATGCAGCAGAATATATTATAGCAAAATAACAAGGGTGAAGCAGAAGTACCAGACAAATCGTTAAGTGTGCATACTGAAGGAGTAAGAGCTTCAGTTCAGTCAAATTGGAGTCAAAGTCATTAAAGAACTTGACTCTAAATCACTTTTTTGTCTACTTCATTAAGAGGATAGTTGTATATGCCACAGATCTAGGTTATTGTCTCCCTGTTTCCAAATATTTTTAATCATAGAAGTAGCAGGGTGAAAATTGCTTGACTAAACAAACGAGCAAACCAGAAATACTCATAAATAGAGAAAGCAAATTGGTTGCCAGAGGGGAGGAGGGTGGGGGAAATGAGCAAAATAGTTGAAGGAGATTAAGAGGTATAAGCTTCATTTATTAAATGGATAAGTCTTGGGGATGAAAAATACAGCATAGGGAATATAACCAATAATATTATAATAGCTTTATATGTTGCCATACGGTAACTATACATACTAGTGAGCATTTTGTAATGTTATGTAAATGTTGAATCACTATCTTGTACCTCTGAAGCTAAATAAAATGTATGTCAATTACACTTCAGTTTTTTAAAAAATTGCTTGACTAGAGAAGGGGCGATGTTAAAATCTCTTTGCAGGCACCAGCAACTTCAAGGTTTCTGCCAGCCCATTGTTGTATTCGATTATTGAGAAAACGATGCAAGATGTGAGTTTCACCTAATTACAAAAATGTATAACTTAATTTTTGTCTAATTTACCTAAGATGAAAAACATTGATATTTAAACCATTAGAAGTAACCAATAACAGGAATTCAGGATAAAATCTATAACTTGTGACTTATTTGCCCCACTCTGTTGTACCATGTCAGGTGAGGGAGGTGGTATATGAAGGGCTCTAATCTCAAACAATACGCAGCCTATTTAGAAATAAAAAGCAGAATTCCATGAAGCCTAAGCTCTGCTATAGATGCCCATGGGGGTCTCTGTAGAGTCAGAATGTTGAGGAAGGTTTAAATGGACTTGAACTATACCTAAGACTACATATACATAGGAAGGGCAGATGAAATATTGGTCAGACACATATTGGAAAGACCATAGTTCTTAATTAGGAGTAAGAGTTACTTTATAGAAATAGGCTGAAATAAGGGCTGGATAACTTGACTTTGATCCCACGGGAAATGAGGGGTTACTATAGGATCTCCAATAAGTAGTTATGTGTTTGCAGATTAGGCTGGCAGTGGTATAAAATGTGCTAGAAGGAAGAAGCCAGAAACAAGATAGGCATATCATGAAGGCTAAAGAGGGCTTTTAAAATTGTGGTTAAGCCAATTTAAAAATGTTCATTAAGAAGGAAAGCATTCTAAAGGAACTAAAAACACGAGCCTAGTAGGAATAACTTCAGAAATTCAAGATCATTTTAACTATCTTAAATTTTTTTCAAGAAGATAAAATAAAAATTGAATATTTGTAAGAAATGTTTATGGAAAGAGACATATTTTAACTAGCCTGAGTAAGTTTAGAAAGGTTTGTTTTAATGATAAATTGATTTACTTTACAGGTGAAAAATCCAATTACTGGGCTGCCTCTGTGTCAGGACAGCAACTGGGTCAACAAAGTGTAAGTTGAGATAAATGAATAAATGAATGAACAGCTAATAGGGAAGCAGAATCACCCAACAGCACCCATTATGTTAGGTAGAGATCTAAACCTTACCTTGCTGTGAGCTCCCTATACCTAGAGAGATGGAATTTAGGAATTTATTTGGGGGTGGGATAGAGGTGTTCGGTAGCACGGTGCTGTCTTTAGAAAGCTTTCTGAAGACATTCTTGCTTTCCTTGCAGCGAGAAACTTTCTTTTGATAATGCTGCCTTCCCTTTCCTTGCGTATTCTGGAATCCCAGCAATTTCTTTCTGCTTTTGTGAGGTAAGTCTGAGGAACTCTAAAGTGTTACAGTTTAGATCTTTAATCAAGCTTCCTAGATTAAATGTTCTATGAAGTTGCACACAGGCAGTTAATGCATACTCCCTTATTATCAGTCTTAATGATGGAATTGTTATCTCAGCTTAATTAGAATTTGAATTTGTTAAAATTTCAACAAAGTGTAATGAGTTTTAATAACAAGGCTACCTGTCAGTGTAAGTAATAGTGTTTTTGCCAAAGCAGAAAGTTCTACTGGATAGTGCTGTTCTCAGGACCTGTTGAAATAGCATTCTAGATATTTGTCCAGAGGTGATGAGTCTTTTAAGCAACGATTACAGGTAAAAGCACAAAAACCAGAGACAAAATTGTTATTAGACAGAATTTTCTGCAGACCAAATTGTAGGAAAACAAGATTGGCTTGGTGTAGGAACCAATTAGAAGGTCCTGAAAGCCAGGTGGGGTAAACAGAATGATGAGGGCTTCTGTGCTACAGTGCTGGAGTTGCTAGAGTTGGAAAACCAACCCTCCCATGGGCTTTTCCGGGAGTTGGCAGGGGAGTGAAGAGAGTTCTCTAGAGTCAGAATATGGAGTCAGATGGAAGCTATTGACTTGGCATCATTGTTGATAGAGCAGAGTGGAATCTAGGTCCTCACTAGACTTTTGCTGGGTGTTTTAGTTGGGGACTAGGAGGGAAAATGGAGGTCTGAAGCTAGGGAATGATCTGGATTTGGAGACTAACAGAGCCTGAAATTCCCTCAACCTCATGCTAGAGCAACAGTTATCAATGGTATTGGAACGGTGGGTCATGATATCTGTTGACTGTGTTAGGAAGAACTGGGGTCAGGTCCTAAGGTTGAGGAGGTTTATGGGTGATTTCTGTTGACCTTCATAAGTCATGTTTTTAAAATAATGACTTTTTAGATGTCAAAAACCCATCAGTTCTGGTTCAGAGGTACAGGTAATAACAGGGACAGTCTGCAAGTAAAGAATTGAGGTCAAGCCAAAGGATTGTCAATGAATGTTACCAAGGAGAGAATAGAGTTGAAGAAATTCTTTTACTAAAGTTGTCTAATGAAGGTAGAAGTTCTTGAGATCATTAAACATTCTTGTTTGAATGGTGATGAGTCGGTGGATCAGGTGCTGCATGATTAGGAAGGTAAATTTTAGTCTTCAGAGTAACACTTTTTATAATAATATAATATCTATTAACAGTAACTACACTAGTTGGGGTGAGCATTTAATACAGAGAACTGTTGAATCTCTATGTTGTATGTATACTTGAAACCAGTATAATACTGTATATCAATAATACCTCAGTTTTAAAAAGTAACACCTTATAAATGAAAAGTAAATTTCATGCATGCTCTCCTCTTTGCTCATTAATATGGGCCAAACTTCCTGGAAACAAAAGAACAAGGCTATGACCTCAAGAAATTTGACCAGAAATCTGTTCAGGATACATAATGAGATGAACAGGGATTTTATAAACCCTAGACATGTTCAGAGAAAGTAGCAAAAGCTGTCTCTTGTTAGAGTAGAGGACATGAGCTAAAATTGGAGTAGGACTGTACTGGAAGCCAGGGAAGAAGTACAGGTACTGTAACCTTGATGGTGAAGCTGAAATGCCAGGCCTCTTACAACCCACCGAGTACATTAACCAAGCTCTGTTTTCCAGGAGACAGATTATCCTTACTTGGGCACTACCATGGATGACTATGGTATGCTGAGTAAGAAAATTCCTCAGTTAAGCGAAATGGTGCGGACAGCAGCAGAAATAGCGGGTCAGCTCATGATCAAACTTACCCATGATGTTGAATTGAACCTGAACTATGAGATGTATAATGACAAAATACTCTCATTTGTAAGGGATATGAACCAATTCAGAACAGATATAAAAGTGAGTATTAATTAAAATCAGGTTCTTGTTGCTCAAGTGTCAGTCAGCTTGAAGATTAATGTTCAGTTGTTCCTGGGGAGGGACATGGTTGGGAGCCAAAGGTATGTTTTAAAGTGAACTGAGGTATGATTTTGATTAGAATCCATAGCTTATGTGCAGAGGAAATTGGAAAAAAAAAAGAAATTGGGAATCTGGGTAATAAATGTAGGGTGGACCACAGCAAGTATTTCATAATCTAGACCTGTGTTTTATTAAGTTCATGTATTCAAAGCAACCTGTAGGACCCAGAGAATATAGAGTATAAGTTCAACAATGACTTTGAACTTAAGAATTTGGGCCATCTATGCCTTTTGGAGATGAAATAGATGGAAAGAACATAGCCAGTAGTAGTTAACAATCTTCTTTAGTGTTGTCTAACTAATAACAGTCTCATTAGTATGTGTCTAGCATAAAACTGTTTGATTAAGATTAATAAGTAGTTTTCAGCTAGTTTTATGGTACTAGAAGTCAGTATTGGCAGATCCCTTAAGTGAAAAAATCACTGATAGCGAAATCTTTATTCTGGTTTTCTTGAAACTTACTGTCACTGAAAAAATGGGACTACCAGAAGCAAATAACTAGATTCTGAAGTTCTTGAACCAAAATGTTTGAAGTTTTTTTCCAAGGAATATTGAACCAGAAACAATATGCTACACAGGATTGTCTCCTTTTACTAAATAAGTTAAATTTCTTGGTGAGGATAATTTTCTTATTAGAGACTAAGAATTATACTGTCTGCTGGGCTTGAATAAGAGTGTATGATTAAGTTGGAATATCCTGTATGAGGTGCTTTCATCTAGCTTTCTCTTGAGTCTTGAGCTTGTCTGAGTCACCCCCTTTTATCAGAACCATCTCACAGTTACTACACTTAAGTTAGAAAGGCATATAGAATAACAGCCTCAGAACATGCTTAATAGTGAATCATGTCCCTCTGCTCTAGGAGATGGGTCTAAATCTGCAATGGCTATATTCTGCTCGTGGAGACTTTTTCCGTGCTACTTCTAGACTAACAACAGATTATAAGAATACTGAGAAAACAAACAAATTTGCCATGAGAGAAATCAATGACCGTATCATGAAAGTAAGTAAACTCTTAGGAAAAGGATAACTAAAAAGTATGTTCATTTTTATTTGATCAATCTTAACATTTCTAGAAAGACCTCCAGGAGCCTTCATTCAGTCTTCAGATTTCACAGATTTTTAACTCTTTTCTTATTAGTAAGATCTAATGTCAACATCTAAATTGGAAATACAAGAGACATTTAACCCAGTATTAACTTTTTAGGCTTTGAAAAAGCCTTTAAGATGAGGTCATTCATTTTTTCCCTGTCATCTTTGTACTCCTGTTGTGTAACTCAGCCCTTAACTGCTTTTATGCTAGTCTGCTTGCAAGAGGCAGAAGACTCATTTTAGAGCAAAGTTGTAAACCTTCCATGTATATGCTTCAACCAAAAAAAAATCCCACTACAATTAGAGTCTACTTTTACAAAGGAAATGACAATCTGTTTTATAGTTTTAATGTTAGATTAGTAGTCTGATTTTCAACATTCTAAAATTAAGGGAAATCTTAACATTTGAAGTGAGAATGACAGTTGTTTTACTGTATCAGGTCTTCTCACAACAGAAGTCACAGTTCACTTAAGCTCTCTTGTATGTTTTGTTTTTGTAGGTGGAATATCACTTTCTCTCACCCTATGTATCTCCAAGAGATTCTCCTTTCCGGCATATCTTCTGGGGCTCTGGCTCTCACACTCTGTCAGCTTTGCTAGAGCATTTGAAGCTGCATCAGAAAAATAACAGTGCTTTTAATGAAACACTGTTGAGAAACCAGTTGGCTTTAGCAACTTGGACTATTCAGGGAGCTGCAAATGCCCTCTCTGGTGACATTTGGGACATTGACAATGAGTTTTAAATGTGATACACATAACAAGAATATCAAGGGTAGTGTTCTAGGTTTCTAGAATTGTACTCATTTTGCTAAATTTTCAGTAGGGCCACAAAACCTAATATTGTTACAATTCTACCCGATCATCTTGGTGTACTACTAGATGTCTTAGGCAGCAACTTTTAATACAGGATGGTAGGTATCTGCACTTCAAGTTAAACCACGTAAAAATGTTCATGATAGGATATTTTCCCTGATTATCTAGGATTTTAAGTGCTTTGTAATGGTAACTGCCTCTTTCTTGTTAACAGTCATGAAAAAGTCAGAACCAGTAATGTGAACTATGGCCCTAAATCCTAGGACATGAACTGGTGTCTGAATGGGAGGAGTGGGCGTAACTGCTGAAAGTTAAAATTGTAGCTTAGTAACGATCCTCCATCTTCATTTGATGCTGGATAGCATATAACAGGTTGTAGAGCTTTGATTTTCCAAATGGAATTTATTCGCTTAAGGATTTAACTGATTTCCACATCCGTGAATGAAACAGTTAACTTTAAGAAGGGATGGGAATTGTCTTCCTGCCAGTGAGGTCTGAAATAGAGGGCCTTCATTCAGTGGATAAAAGGAAGTTCAACTGTTCATCACAGGAGTAAGACCTTAATGTGTTGACTTCAAGATTCTTTATGAAAAGAGGAGAGCAGAAGCCAAAGACCTAGTATATTTTCCTTTATCATCCCCTGCCCCATGAGATTTTATTTAGTTTTTTTCCCCCAGTATTTTGGAAGAGAACTAGCTTTAGGTTGTTGAATTTCAAACTCAGTTTGTCAGACTTTAAAAAACATGCTGCCAAATTAGCCAAAGTGTTAATTTTTGGGAAAGCTTTCTATCATTTTGGCACTGAGATATTTATTGTTTATTTATCAGTGACAGAGTTCACTATAAATGGTGTTTTTTTTATAGAAGATAATTATCGGAAGCAGTGCCTTCCATAATTATGACAGTTATACTGTCGTTTTTTTAAAAATAAAAGCAGCATCTGCTAATAAACCCGAACAGATACTGGAAGTTTTGCATTTATGGTCAACACTTGGGCGTTTTAGAAAACAGTCGCCAGCCAAATAAGATTAAAGCTGAGTATTGGAGAAGAAGTAAATTTAATTAGAGGTTGCTAATCAAAGTTAGGCTTACATTTAGGCAACCAAATAAAAGTGACAGTTCTCCTAAATGCAGCGAATCATGACCAAGTCATTAAGTTAATGTCACTTAAAGGTGACACTGATAATCATATATGCAAAATTTTATAGCTCAATATATCCAAGGTATAACTTTAATTCAGAATTTGCAAAATTTCCAGTACCTTTGTCACAAGCCTAACTCATTATCGGGAGCAGTGTCTTCCATAATGTATACAGAACAAGGTAGTTTTTGCCTACCACAGTGTCTATATCGGAGACCGTGATCTCCATGTTACACTAAGGGTGTACGTAATTATCGGGAACAGTGTTTCCCATAATTTTCTTCATGTAGTGACATTTTCAAAGCTTGAAGATCGTTAGTATCTAACATGTATTCCCAGCTCCCTGTAATTCTTTTAGTTTTAGTTACAGAAAAATTTTTTGGTCATTAAGCATTTGGTGGGTGAATTCAACCACTGTAAAACAAAATTACTTCCTTCAAGATTCTTTGCTTTTAAACCTAATGTAGTGTTTTATTGTATTTGTGGTTTCTCCGGGTCTTTTTATCAGGATAGTAGCATACACTTACAAGGTTTGTTGGTGACAGATAAATTTAACCATATCCCCTTATTTGCATGTTATCTCTTATAATTTAGTTCATACAAGTTTTAATCCAGAACTGACCTTTTAGCTTAAAGCAAGGGAAACTTGTATAGGAGGTTTGGGGGGAGGGAGGAGTATAGGGTGTGGGGAGGCAAAGCTTGCAAAAGGATCTCTGATCGTGTCTACCTTCTCATTAGTATATGGTGATTTTAAGTTAAATACAGTTACTGTGAAGAAATAGGTTTGAGGCTACATGAGTAAGATGTTTCTAGTCAGCCATCGTTATAAACCTGATCAGTTGTTTATTATAAAGTTGTTCAATATATCACCTAAGAAAAAGTCTATAGGGGTCTCTAATGATTCTTAGTGTCACTTACCTAAATCAAAAGAGGTCAAGATTATTACATCCTCACTGAATTGTTTTGCTACTCACAGTTCTGTTTAGTTTCAGTATTTTATCTTGAACTGATACTTAGTATAGTAAAGTGAAAAGGTCATAGCTGGGATCCCTAGTTTGGGTATCATGCTTTATCATACTTTAATAAAACCTCAGTGACTTCAAGGCATGATGTGAGTAATGGGCATACATTTTAGCAGCAGTAAATCTCTTCTAAAAAGTTTTCTGTGGTTAGGGTTATTTCTACTCAAAACAAGCCAGTAACTGGTAAGAGCCTTAAATATTCCTGAATGAAATGTGTATCTGACTAGTGAAAGCCTGCTGGTCTTCAGATTTTTTTTCTGGCTATCGTTATCAGGTGTATGGTAAAGGTAAAATACAAAATGAGTGAGCTCTGTCGTAATTCGCTGTTGTTGAACTTGGATGACCTACCTATACTGTGTTTCCTCTTTGAATGTTCTTGAAATGTTATTTGGCTAAAGATGGCTTGTTTAACTTGCCGATCAACTGCTCAGCTATCTTTATAAACAAATGATATGCCCTTATAATTGTACACATGCTGGTATATATGCAACAGTATGGGGATTGCTTACCTGATTCAATAAAATGCTTGAACACTGAGTTGTCATTTTTAATAGATTTTATTTTTTTAGAGCAATTTTAGTATCATAGCAAAACTGAGCAGAAAGCAGAGAATTCCCATATACTCCCTACCTGCACACCCCTTCCTAACCCATCCAGCTCTCCTCACTGTCAACATCCCCCACCAGAGTACTACTTTTGTTAAAATTGGTAAACCTACAGTGACATACCATGGCCATAGTTTACATAAGATTCATTCTTGGTGTTATACATATTCTGTGGGCCTGGACAAATATATAATGACACGTATCCACCATTATAGTACAATGAATACTAGTACTTTCTCTGACCATAATAGGGAGTAAATTAGAAGTCAGTAACAAACTATCCAGGAAATTAAGCAGCAAATTTTTAATTATGGGCTAAAGATGAAATTTTACGAAGGAAATTAAAACTTTTTCAAAGTATAGTGGATATACAATCTAATGTTGGTTTAATATATACAACAGTAGTCGAGCAGTTAACCCACCCCCTCTAGTATGGTCCCTCAACAAGGTGTTGCAGAATCTTTGCATTCCCCATGCTGTACTACTGACCCCGTGATCAACTTATATTGTGATGGTGAATTATTGTGCCCCTTTATCCCCTTCCTCCCGCTTGGTAACAGCTAGTCCCTTCCTGGTGTCTGAGTCTGTTGTGTTCTATTTTGCTTTGTTTTCAGATCCCACCAATAAATGAAATCATACGGTATTTGTCTTCCCCTGCCTGGCTTATTTCACAGCATAATACCTCTAGGTCCATCCATGTTGCAAAATTGCAGGATTTATTCTTATGGCTGAATAATATTGCATTGTGTGCCGGAGTCCAGCTCCAGCGGGGGTGTGTGAAGCCCAAAAAGATGAGACAGTTGGTGCATGGAGAGAAAGGACACGGTCCGATGGAGGTGGTCTCTCAACAAAGTGCCGATGACAGCTTTATTTATACCATATTGCACAAGGATATGATTATTTTTTATTGCTCTGTTGATTAATTGGTATAGGCAATTGATTAATAGGTATAGGCAAGCTTTTTTCTTTCTATTCTATTCATGATTGGTCAAGTGTTAGGTGATCATTTTCTGTTCCTTGACCGAAACTTTTCTTAGCAACATGTACTCTTTTATGTTTTATGTTTCTATGCAACGCAGTTTCTAAGTAGTGCATGTGACCGCAGGAGTGTGCAGTATGTAGCAGTGACTGGTGTCTATCGGCTCAGTGTGAGATACAGGTCACCTACTGCCAGTTAGCTATGATTCTTTCCCACAAAAATATTCTTAGAGGCTTTAATGAATTTATAATCAATCTAAAATCATAAACTCATATCTTCATTATACATCCCTTTTTAGGGCACAGTAGGCAGCAAACTAAATTTCCCCTTATCTACATTTCTCTTCTGGGTGGATACCAAAATCTCCCTGACACATACACAGGTCTCCATGACTGTACTACTGCAGGGACTAAACAGGTTCTTACATGGTGAACAATGTAAGGGCATTCATATAAGAGAAACTGTTTCTGTTTTAACTACAAATCTTAAAACTATAAACAAGTCAAATATGATGTATGATCTATTCTTGAAAATGTTTCATGTTCACTTGAGAATAATGTGTATCCTATTGCTTTTGATGGAGTGCTGTGTAGATGTCTTGTTAGGTCCATCTGTTCTAATTTGTTTTTCAGTGTCTCTGCTCCTTATTTTCTGTCTGGTTGATCTGTCCTTTGGAGTGAGTGGTGTGCTGAAGTCTCCTAAAATGAATGCATTGCATTCTATTTCCCCGGCTATTGCAAATGGTGTGGTAATAAGCAAAGGGGTGCATATATCTTTTCAAATCATGGATTTTGTTTTCTTAAGGTAAATTCTTAGGAGTGGAATTACTGGGTCAAATGGTATTTCTCTTTTTCATTTTTTGAGGAACATCCATGTTGCTTTCCACACTAGTTGCACCAAGTTGCAGTCCCACCAACAGTATCGAGGGTTCCTATTTCTTTGCATGCTAACCAGCATTCATTGCTTCTTGTTTTTGGGGTAGTGGCCATTCTAACTCATGTGAGTTGATATCTCACTGTGGTTTTAATTTGAATTTCCCTGATGATTAGTGATATGGAGCATCTTTTCATGTGACTGTTGGCCATTTGTATTTCTTCTTTGGAGAAGTCTGTTCAGGTCTTCTGCCCATTTTTTAATCAATTTATTTGTTCTTGAGGATTGAGGTGTATGAATTTTTTATATATTTTGGCTGTTAAGCCCTATCAGATGAGTCATTTACAAATATATTCTCATATCATAGGATGCCTTTTTGTTCTGCTGGTGGTATCCTTTGCTGTACAGAAGCTTTTTAGATTCATGTAGTCCTACTTGTTCATTTTTAATTTGTTGCCCTTGCCTAAGGAGATGTGTCCAGGAAAAAATTGCTCATCCTTATATTCAAAAGATTTTTGGCTATGTTTTCTTCCATCTGTTTTATGGTTCATGACTTACATTCAGATCTTTGAACCATTTTGAATTTACCTTTGTATATGGAGTTAGACAATAATCCAGTTTCATTATCTTATATGCAGCTGTCCAGTTTTGCCAACACCAGTTGTTGAAGAGGCAATCTTTTCCCCATGGTATATTCAATAGCTCTTTTATCATATATTAATTGACCATAGATGTGTGGATTTATATCTGGACCCCCTATTCTGTTCCACTGATCTATGCGTCTGTTCTTGTGCCAGTACCAAATTGTTTTGAATACTGTAGCTTTGTAGTAGAGCTTTAAGTCAAGGAGTGTAATGCCACCAGCTTTGTTGTTCTTTCTCATGATTGCTTTAGCTATTTGGGGTCTTTTGTAGTTCCGTATGTATTTTAGAACTGTTTGTTCTAGTTTATTGAAAAAGCGCTGTTGTATTTTGGTAGGGATTGCATTGACTCTAAATTGCTTTGGGCAGGATGGCCATTTTGGCAATATTAATTCTTCCTATCCATGAACATGCGATAGATTTCCATTTTTTGGTGTCTTTAATTTCTCTCATGAGTGCCTTGTAGTTTTCAGACTATTGGTCTTTGACCTCCTTGGTTAGGTTTATTTCTAGGTATTTTATTCTTTTCGATGCAGTTGTAAATACAGTTGTTTTACTGATTTCTCTTTCTGCTAGTTCATTTTTAGTATATAGGAATGCAACAGATTTCTATGTATCAATTTTGTATCCTGCAACTTCACTGAATTCGGTTATTAGTTCTGTTAGTTTTGGTGTGGATTCTTTAGGGTTTTCTATGTATACTATAATGTCATCTGCAAATAGTGACAGTTTAACTTCTTTCCTTACCCGTTTTGTTGCCTTTTACTTCGTCTTGTCTGATTGCTGTGGCTAGGATCTCCAGTACTGTGTTGAATAAAAGGGGTAAGAGTGGACCTCCTTGTCTTGTTCCTGATCTTAGGGGACAGCTTTACCATTGAGTATGATGTTATCTGTTGGTTTGTCATATATGACCTTTATTATGTTGAGGTACCTTCCCTCTATACACATTTTGCTGAGAGATTTTATCATGAATGGATGTAGAATTTCATTAAAAGCTTTTTCACATCTATTGAGATGATCATATCATTTTAATCCTTTTTGTTCTTCTGGTGTATCTTATTTTTTGATTTATGAGTATTACCATCCTTATATCCCTGGAATAAATCCCAGTTGGTCGTGATGGAAGACCCTTTTGATGCTAATATTTTGTTGAGGATTTTTGCATCTATGTTCATCAAGGATATTGAGCTATAATTTTCTCTTTTTGTAGGGTCTTTCATTTTGGTATTAGAGTCATGCTGGCATCACAGAATGTTTTTGGAAGTATTCCCTCCTACTTTTTGGAATACTTTAAGAAGGATGGGTATTAGCTCATCTTTCAATGTTCTGTAATACCTTTTTTTCTTGGTGTCATTAATCTACAATTACATGAGGAATATTATGTTGACTAGGCTCCCCCCATCACCAAGTCCCCCCCACATACACCATTACAGTCTCTGCCCATCAGAGTAGTAAGATGCTATAGAGTCACTACTTGTCTTTGTGTTGCACAGCCCTCCCCTTGCCCCCCCTTCATTACACATGCTAATCGTAAGGCCCCCT